CTGAGCTTTTTTAGGTGGAATACAAAGGATAGAAACAGAGTTTCTATTTTTTTATTATGCATTTCTCTTCTCTTCTCTTCTCTTCTCTTCTCTTCTCTTCTCTTCTCTTCTCTTCTCTTCTCTTCTCTTCTCTTCTTCTTCTCTTCTCTTCTTCTTCTCTTCTTCTTCTTCTTCTTCTTCTCTTCTCTTCTCTTCTCTTCTCTTCTCTTCTCTTCTCTTCTCTTCTCTTCTCTTCTCTTCTCTTCTCTTCTCTTCTCTTCTCTTCTCTTCTCTCTCTCTTCTCTTCTCTTCTCTTCTCTTCTCTTCTCTTCTCTTCTCTCTCTCTTCTCTTCTCTTCTCTTCTCTTCTCTTCTCTTCTCTTCTCTTCTCTTCTCTTCTCTTCTCTTCTCTTCTCTTCTCTTCTCTTTATTAGATTCAAAAAAATCAAATCAGCTATGACGTACCTTTTTTTCATTTTAAAATAAAAATTGTTCGAATCTTATTCTAGCAGCATGTATAGAACTACCCTATAAATTTCAGATCGATATAAATTTTTTCATATTATATGAATATATGTGAAATAAAGATGATTTGACGGTTCATGACAAAATTATCTGATATTCACATGGCAACAACTCTAAGCATTCTAGAACTGGATCTAACATAAACTGGTTTTTTAAAAAAACGCGCTCTATAAATGATCTAAGTTTTAAAGATTTGCCAATCTAAGTTAAATCCAAATACATTTATACATATTATTTTATTTTATGATGTTATAAGAAGAACAAATTTATACAAATTTTTATAATTTATTACAAAATTTTTCATAATTATGGTCATTCTGGATAATCACTAAAAATCTTATCAATAAAAAGTATCAAAAACAAACATTTAGATATCAATTAAACAATACATTTATTAGACATGATTTCCCATGAGCGTCTACATGATATTTCACTGGATGCTACCACCTCCCCCCCCCCTCCCCTTAAAAATCTATGCCTATACCCCTAAAAAATTTCCGCATTACACCTTTTAAATAGGCCTTTAATAAAAAGTATTATTGCCCTATTTCGTTTAAAAAATTAAGAGATAACCCCCCAAAATATTTATCTTACCCCTTTAAAGACACCTACCCCATATACCCTTTCAAAAAAATTAAATGTAAGCTTTTCCTACTATCCTCTCCCCGCTGATGTAGAGACGCTGTTTCCCATTATGAGGTTCCATGTCAAAGAGCAAATAATATAGTTATAATTTTATATCATAGTGACACCTCACGAGTTTCCCATTTTGCAAATAACAAAAAACCGACCTCCTGCTGGCATCTCACACCACTAGAAAAATTAAATGCTCACAATCGATAAAGTCTATATCTATGCCATTATACCCATTTTATTGATGGCGCTCACACACGCATGATTCGACCACTACTTTATAGCCTACAGATGCACCATCACATTTCAGATACACTTCATGATAACGCTACAAACAGTGCCACCCCTTTAATGCTGTAGGTTATTTCTCATTGTCCCAAACCTCACAACTTATCTCGCATACCTAAATGTGCAAGGATTCAATTAGAAAGATCTTATTCAAAGAATCTAATATCTCTCAATAATTTCTCATCAGTAATTCACTAGCTTTATTTTAACATACTCTTTACCATCTCACAAACATCACTCTTTTGGTTAAAAAATATTTACTCAACAGGTAAAAGTTACATCCTAAAATCCTCTTTGTTTAGATCGATGGTCTACATCCTCAAAAATGACAAAAATTGCAACAAAATAAAAACGTAACTCCTTTAAAACGAGAGAAAAAGTTTATATAATTTAAAATGATTGCAATTAATATGACCGCTAATATTAATATTAATCGTTTCAAAAACATTGGCCATAATGAAAATGACTGCGATAGCAAGAAATTTTAGAAACAAGAAGTCAAACTCCCTTATTCTATAGAGGGTTATTATTTTTTTTATATATAATTTAACTAATAAAAAATGAATGAATTTTTTTTTAAAACCCTTTTTAATCATTTAAAAAATTTATGTTGTTCAAAGACCGCGACATAAGCGCAAATCTATATCATAGGTGGAAATTTGTGAATAGCAACCATCGTATTATAGCAACACTTAAAATATTAATATTGCGTTTGAAAACATGCAAAGGTCTAAGAAATAAAATTATAACCTAAGAAAAAATATTTCTTTGATGGATGCTCATATTTGCCTATTTCTGTTGCATATTTATTTTTAAGGATAATCCTATAAAACATATTTAGGTGGTACTAAACGGATGAATTTTTAACGGGAACAGGAAAATATTAGGTTCACAGATGAACTTTCCGACATTTAATTCTGAAACGAATTTATTGTTAACTGCACCTCCCTTATTCTCCCCAACCTGCTAAAGCACTTAGACCCATATCCCCTAATTGATCAGATTATATCTAGTAGGTAAACTCTATTTCTAATATTAAATTAGTTTCATTAAAAAATTATTGTGAAAAAGTAATTATAACTGGGGCTAGAACACGAAGTATCAATAAGTAATTTAGGGCATTACTATGCCAATACTATTGTTCAAAAATATGATTATATTTCTATATATCATTAATCAGGCATAATCACTCATTTGTTAATCGTCATCTAAAAGATGATGTTTATTATAATGCCCACTCTTAATATAAAAGTTTTTTTTACTTCTCTTATTAAATAAATGCATAGTATATTATTTATTAAATTACTATAGCAGACTCTATCTATATAATATATTTTAGTTAAATATTAAAATGCTTCAATTTTATCATTCAAAAGTAAATATTTTATGAAATGTTATAAAAGTAGAAAATTATTTAAGCCAGAAACTATAGATGTCACCCTAATTTACCAATATTTATTTTATTTTAAATTATATATGAAAAACAGGATTTATAATTCATTTTTAAATCGGCCCTAAAATTTTAAATATAGTATAAATAGCTCAATGATTTTACCATCGTGAGGGTAAGCTATGTTAAAAATAAAATTTCATATATTTATTAACAATGTTTGTACATGATTTTCACATGGAGAGATTTAAAAATGTTAAAACATAGTCCATTTTCTCAAAATATTTTGCACAATTCTGGATTATTTTTATATAGGTAATTTTTGTATAAAGGTATGTAGTACAACTAGATGAAGATTCTGCAAGTTTTATAGTTTAGATTATTTTAAAGGGACAAAAATTCCCCCTTTTCAGTCTTAATACCGTATTTTATCCTAAAATTAGAAAAGCCATTAAATTTGACATACATTATTATTTATTTATTACACACCTACGGTTAGTTTCATTGTTAATAATATTCAAGTGATTGAAAATTACAAGCAAAAATTTTAGTCGAATATCATTAAGAGAAAAGAAACGCATCTTAATCATAATATATTATTCCTTAATTATTTTTTCATCTCTCATGGTTTAAATTAAATCAATTTCAATCCTTAGCCAATGTTTCGTAATCATCATCATATCACATTTATTTATCCGAATTTTGACTGAATAATTAAAATTAATTCATAAAATTATAATAGAAAAAAATATTAGAGAAATATTCTTATTTATATATATCAATTTTAATTTTTGATCTTCTAAAAATCATTTCATCCGTGCAATCTTAAAATTATAGATATTGGCTTGGTTATTTAAATCTATTTCAATTATATTTTTTTTTCTTTTATAAAATCTCTAAGAGAATTAAAAAATTAAATCTAACTTTAATTTTTTTGCAATTGCTAAATTTTATGGCTTCGACTAAATATTTAAAAGTTATATATAAATTTCTATAACAGCGAAGAACTTGGACTATTTTTGTTAGTTTTACATAATCAATTTATAAACTTAATCTCCATCCCAATTATATATATATGTAAATCCGAAAAAACTGCTATTTTTTTCATCAAGTATATTTTATATATATCTGAAGAGATATTATAGTTAATAAAAAAAAAAATATTTCTTGCTCAACAACATTTAGAGTGATTCGCATTTTAAAATTGAAAAATTTTATAATTTATTAGCATTGCGCGACCATTTTCTAGGGGCTTTAGTGAGTTTGAAATTTAAATTTTTCATTTTATTATTATACGATATAGTATTATTGCACAAAATTTCAAAAAATATCGAAATTAGTCAAATCCTAAACCCTATTATTTTGTTGATTTGTGGAATTTACTATATTTACAATTGGAAAAATATTTATATTTATAGTAAAATTGGTAAAACTAGCCCAGTCTTTTATTAAAAGTCCGCGGTCAGGTCCGGTCCATGTGATCTGTTCCAGTTCGAAATTCCGGATCATAACCTCACCTTGCATTTATACCGGTTTTTCCATTAAATTTTGAATAGTGTGCTGTTAAATCTTGGAGTATTGATATGATAGGGCAGCGATGTACCCACCTTTGGATTTCTCTCGGTAATTAAATATTTTATTTCATATTTACACTTGTCTAGTTATTTTATGTGGTTAGTTTATATATCTATATAAGGTAAATTATTACATCGTTTAAAAGGATATTCTAAAAAAAAATTGTAAATATAATATTTTAAAACGTACTAACATAATAATTAAAATTTTAAAATATTATTTATATTTAAAATTAAAGCATTATAAATAGTATACTCCTAGCAAAAATACAGAATTGTCCTTCTGTATCAGAATAAGCTTTTAAATATATAATAATATAATTTTAGAAGATAATTAATTAGAAATATAAATCTTATATAGAATTTTTAAAATAAACAAAGAGGCACTACTAATCATATCCCTGTTGTATCATTAAATGCGACCCTTTTACAATTCTAATGACATCATTACATTATATGGAGATAGAAGGCGCTGAATTAAACTAATATTAAATGTTACTTGTTATTGGCATTCAAATTCAAAAATAACATCGGTCTTAGGGCGATGCAATATTAAACGCTTTATTAATATTGTCATAATTATTATAATAAAATATACACATCAATATGCATATAAAAAGTTTTTATGTTAAGGGTTGTAGCATAAGTAAAATTATTTATCTTGATTCAAAAAATATAGCTAATTTCTAGATATATTTTAACATTAATCTCAACGAAGATCTCAGATTACCTAAACTGCAGTGATAAGTCCTATTGCTTATTTTTAGAGTTTTAATCATTCAGCTTTTACATTCAGGTTTGCCTTGCGTACCACTTTATTGCAAGTACTTAAATTCTAATATAAACACTCTTCGCTAAAAATTTTTGCCTTTTGTCAACCAATCTTTATATTACTTTTCGAAATTGTATCGCTTTGTCAATTGTAAATAGAGATTTTTCTTAGCCAATCTATAATAAAGTACAGTTGCTATAAAAAAAAATTAACATTACATTATAAAATTTATAACCCAACAAAGGTTTTTCTTGTAAAGATAAATAGGATCTTTTTGTCGTTCATCTCAATTTTTGAGCCTAATAAACAGATTTGATTATGTAATATTTTTGATAGTTTGTTGCTAACTGCGTTTATCTCCGAATGTTGTCAACTTTGTAATGCCTTTAAGGCCCTTGTGAGCAGATTTGACGGGGTCAGTAAATTTTAATATTGTCTATGACGTTTCTCTATGTGAAGTTTATTTGACTATGGTTAATTTATTTATGCCTTCTTCTTGGAAACCTATTATAGATGTGTTACACTAATTTCGCATTTATTATTGGCGTGTTTATAACTTAAATTTTTTTTTTGTTTTAAGAGATTGTAAGCAAAATTAGTTTTAGGTTGAACAATAAATATAATTGAATCTTTCTTGCCTTTGTGCTTTTTTTAAAAACAATCATTATCATCTGAGTAGTCAGATTATTTAGAAAAAAATAGAATTAATTTTGTATTTTAATTTTTTCAATAGTAGACGATCTGTCATCACTAACATTAGTTATGAATATTTAAAACAATGGCAAACAAAAAATTAAAAACTTTATTTTTGAAGAAATTAGTGATTCAAAATAAATTATTAATATCATGGAATCTTTAAGCTAACATAAATTACCATATTAAAATTAATAGGTGAAATAATAAATGCAGTATTGCAAAATAGATATTCTATCACCATAATATGTATATTCTTCTGATAGAATTGATATAATTTTTGTCTGACAGAATTTTAATAATTTATTCCAGGCTAAGATTTACTAAAAATAAATGTGAACTCAGATCTTTAGAGAATTCTGATAATTATTTTTACCTATAAGGCTGCATCTTACTGTGAGATTCAGATTCATATAAATTTTGTAGAGGTATCATCAGATCAAAAGATGACATTTTAACCTTTATATATCACTAAAAAGGAAAATTTAAATTAAAGAATGCATAAATTTGAAGGGGTAAAAATATTTTTAATCCTTAATAAAATACCTTTATCTATTTAAAAATTTAATTGCCACAAATGGTTATTAAGACGCGTAGCCTTAAAGATGTCAAAAAAAAGAAAATTATCTTAAAGTAGTATTATCTAATTTGTAAAAATTATAGCTATATAATATAAAAATATTAGAATGTCTATAATTTGATGGTAAACATTTTATATCTTTGTTTTTATAGTCAGATATAATTTATTAAAGAAATAATGAAAAATATTTATTAAAAAATACAAAAATTTAGCTCTTTTTAGTGTCAGTCAAAAAAGAATAATAAAAATAAATTAAACAAATTTAAAAATATGTTGTTAATCAAGATGTTTGACCTAGAAAATTTTCAATACCCATTTATATCTAATTTTCTACCTACTATGTATCCTGAAATTAACACTTGTTTAGTATCTTTTTATGCCATAATAAAGTAATGCTATATAATAAAAATTAAAAATATTACCTCCGCATTCTATAATAGATATTTTGTTAAATTTTTTATTATACATTTATGTACAATGAAATTTAATGGTATCGATTATAATGCATTAAAAAATATTCAGATTACAAGGTTATATAAAATTTTTAATTCATCTATTTTTTAACTAAATATATTATTGGTATTGTTAAAAAATATCATTAGTAATTTAAAATCCGATAATTAATTTCTTTAACAAAAAGAATAATTAGTTATAATATTATTTAATTCATCTTCTTCTCTCAAATATAACATTTCAGTTTCAAATAAATTTAACAAATGTTTAAACACCGTTATCTGGCCAAAAATATAATTAGACAAAATAATTTAATGTTAGATTATTTTATTCTATTCTAGTATTCTATAAATAATGATTTAAAGATATATTTCATAAAAATAGAATCATATAGTAAAATATCAGTAAGAGCGAGAAATAGATTGCTTTATGTTTCATATCTATGGTTCAAAATATAAATTGCTAAAAATTATGATTAATTAATAATTTATATTCTAGCAAACTATAAATTAAGTGTTAAACACCCCAAAAAACATAGCGCAACTCTTCCCTTTTCAATATTTCATTTAGATTAATATTAAAAGGCTGAAAATTTTATTTAGATAGAACAAAGATTTGAACATCTATTAATGAAATCTCGAATCTTAGGCAATATTATTCTGGCTAAAATATTGAGTTAGCTGTTTTAAAAAATCGGCTCATGAGCCGTTCAACACTACTTTCCTTATAATATATTTTAGTTTGTCTTAAAAAATTCAAATCTTGAATAATTATATAATAAAAAGTTTTCATATTTCTTAATCAATTTTAGGCAAAATTCAAAATTATGGTGTTTGAAAATTTAAATTTGCTCAAATTTAATATCCAAATTTGTGATAAACTGAAAAGAGGAATCAAATGTTTTTGTTTGATATGAAGATAAATAGAAAGAATGGGATAGAGTGCGATATTGGTATAAATGAAAGTAGGAACAAAGGATGGGGCTTGTAAAATGTTAATATAAAAGAAATAATAAAAAATTCAAATCAATTTAAGTTATGCCGATATAAAAGAATTAATAAAAAAAATTAACAGTTAATTTTAGGTTACACAATAAACAGGAAATAACAAAATAAGGTAAAAGTTAACATCTAAACAATGAATTAACATAAAAAGGTTTGAAACTAATTTTTTTAGCTTTTTGAATGTAAAGGAGGTAGAAGGGTACAAAATAATTTGTCTCTAACTCAATTTTGACCGAAAGAATATAAGTCAAGCAATGAGATATTAATATTATTTGTAATACAATACATAATATATTAGACCTTAAGTTATACATAATTCTTACCTAAATTCCAATAAGCTGTAAAATATTTTCAAAAAAAATTGCATTATTATTATATGTAAACATTATTTTTAGATTGTAATCAAGGGTCTGTAAATCAAACTTTGCTCCTATTTGATGATATTCAAAATTATTATGAACTATTGTCAGGTTTATAATTTAGCTTATTGCTTACTCCATATTCATATAGTATATACTTATCACAAAATAAAATTATTTTCGACTTTTTGAAAAACTAATTAAAATAAACATATTGACTAGCGGCGTATCATTTGTCTACCGCAAGTTTTTTTAAAAAGTCAAAACGTACCGAGGCTACTACAAATTAGATTTTTACATAATTATTCTTATAATTAAATAAATATTTTCAACTAATGATGTTTAAGAATGCATTCATAGTGTAGACTAGTGTTGTTAAATTACCTAGCTTTCACCATCTCTATTGTGTCTTAGTCAAACTTTTAGACTAAAAAATTGGTAGGGTTAAGGTTATGGTAGGATTAGGGTTATGGTAGGGTTAATTTTTGTCGCCGGGATGGCCCAGTGGTGTATGATGTAGACTTGGAAACAGAAGGTCCCAGGAGACTTGGAAACAGAAGGTCCCAGGTTAAATTCTGGTAAGAAACTAAAAAATTTTGAGTTTTTCTTCGAAGACGGATGTGTATAGACATATGATATGATAAATTCGATTTGATACTTCTGTGTGAGGAATACTCCGGTGGGATATCTATATACAAGATACTTTGACCTTGATAGCGATACTCCGGTGGGAGTTCCAAACTGGAATCGATCAGAAACACAAATTAGATAAAAATAGATAGCATGAGTAATAAAGTAGAGAAAGAAAGGAGCTTACTACCTGAAAAAGGTAAAAGCTAAACAGGAAAAAAAATCATGAGATTGATTTTGATGAAACAATTGTGTGATCATTCTTTAATCCCTGGCAAATTGCTTTTATTTTTTAAAATTATATTTAATAATTTTCCCAAATATCTCTTTTATGATTTTCTTGAATTATGATATTATCAAAACGGATAACTTGATTTAGATATCTATGTCTGGTACGGAGAGCGACATAGCTATGAGATGATTAAAAATTGTGGACGGTTTTATACATTGAAAATTAAATATTTTATATAGTAAAACAAAGATATTATATGAATAAAATTATGTATTTATTACCCATAATTTGACATATCTTTCATATACTTTTGTTAATCCTATTATTGATTAAAGATATGAATTGAAGAAAGGTTTATTCTATGTAGGCAAGAATAGTAAATAAGGATCATCCATGGTTGCATTAACCAATTTTATTATTTATTGCATAAAGTTATGACCTTTGCCCACAATAATGGGTATATATTTAATATATTTTCATTATACTTTTAGATAAAACATATTGTTCTCTAGCCAGAATTCTAATAAATTCTCCAAATTTCCCTAGTTTTAAAGTCAGAATTTTTGTTGGTTTAAAAGATCTTGTATTTATACCCAAATTATTTCATTTATTCTAATACTTGCTATATTTATTTTTAGCAAGGTTCACATATTAAAGATTATTAATTTTTGTACACGATATTTAAGGTTATATTTAAAAAATAAATTTTAAGTGTAAAAAGTATCCTCCCATGTTTGAAGAATTTTGAAATGTATCAGAAAATTTTTCAAATCCATTGTTTGGTTCAATAGTTATTGTAACTTTTCATGATTTCTTTTATCCCCAAACTCAGCCGCAACGAGTCCTGAATTTTATCCTGCTTTAAAAAAAAAATTTTCTTATCTTTCTTCCACAATCTTTGAGATAGAACAGAAAACTAGCATGAACTTTTAATGTAATTTGTTTAAAAATGTTAGGAAAAATAAAAAAACAGTGATATTAAAGGAGTGTTAAAATTATTTAGAATCAAACAGTCAAAACATCATTAGCCTATTTATATTATTTCCAACATCAGCTTATTCCCAAAATGTAATGCGTCTTTACATTACTTTAAAAAAGCATTCTATATTTTTGTTGTATATTTTTTAAAAAAACATTCAATGCCTTCCTAAAATTTCTGGCAAAAAAATAGAGAGAGAATGAGATCACATAGCCAAAAAATAATACATCGCTTTTATAAATTAAATATATATTATATTAAATTTAAAAAAAAATTACGTCTCTTAGCATCAGGTTTTTCTAATAATAAAAAAATATATATTCATCAAAAGCAAATTTATAGCCTTTTGTTCAATTCAAACTTACAAACAATCATAGATATAATATATTTCACATTTCAGTATAGGTTTAAAATTCAAATATTTGATCAATTTTAAAAGATAATTTATAGCTCGAGTTTTCAAATTTTGGAAGATTTGATCTTGCTATATATGAAAAATTATTTAGTCTATTTGAGCAAATAATCTTTAAAGATTATAAAATAATATTTTGAAATAAAGATTATTAATGATTATATAGTATTCTGATAAAAAAAGATTAAAATTTTAGTTTAAAATTTGATACAAAATTTTGTTTGGATATTATCAAAAAAATGTAAATAAAATCCTCAGATATCAAAAATCAATGAAGAATTTTATTTTGGAGAATTTTAAACCTTGTTTTTATTTGTGGATTTCTAAAATTGAAAACTACACAAATATTTTTGTCAAAATTATCTTAAATTTACAAGGTAACACTCTTTAAAAATTCAAATATTATTTTTAAAATATGATAGAAATATATAAATTTTTAAAAATTTAGGTTATCGCGCTAAACTATTTAAACCCCTACGACATTATATGTATACATCGTTAAATAAAAAATTAAAAAAATCTTTATAAAATTGAATCATAACAAATAAAATTTATAGATTAATATAACCTCCAAAAAGAGCTATAAAACATTGAGTTTAAAAATAATAAATGAAGTATAGATAATGACATTATCATTATAATATTTTTTTGAGAAGGATAGCTAAACATTATTCATTCCGTTATTTTCATTTCTCGTTCATAAAATGTTTTAATTATTATTCAAGAATGATTTGTAAGTCCAAGTTTGGTTTTTTTTCGAAAAATATTTGAGACTTATTTATCATGAAAACCAATGCTTCCTAAACAAATTTCTTCTTTAAATAATAAATTAATGTAGTTTTTTTTTATAAAACAAAAAACATATTATAAACTTACCTTCTCCTATATTTTTGCCTATTGAAAAATAGTCAATATAGTAATTTTATATATGAAAATTTATATTATAAGAAAATGTTATAGTTAATATTATTCTCATAATAAATTTTTCTACACAAAAACTATTATATGAAGATATTTGAATGATTATAATTATCATTTATGACTTATATATTTTTTAGTAAGGTTATAACACATAATATGGTCAGACCGGTCTTGTTGTATGGATTTGTAACTTGGGCATTGCGAGCTGCTGAGAAATTTTGGAGGTAACCGAAATGCTTATTATCTGGTGGAGCCTAGGTTACACCAAGTTATATGACCAATAGTAGCTTAAGAAAGAAGAAGGGCTTAGCTCCCTTTTCGGAAAAGATAAAGAAAAGTAAACTGAGATGGTATTGCTCAACTAACATGAATCGGAAAGTTATCCATCCTGTAGTTACTAGCCAATGAATATTTTAAAATCTACAAGAACATATTGGATAAGATAATTGTTGCTGATATGGGTCAATCC